TTTTGGTTTTTTTAATTTGATTTTTTTTTTTTTTTTTTTCTTGTGAGACAGAATCTGGTTCTGTCAGTCAGGCTGGAGTGCTATGGCACAATCTCAGCTCATTGCAATCTCCGCCTCCTGGGCTCAAAGGATCCTCCTGCCTCAGCCTCCCAAGTAGCTGGGACACAGGTGCCACCATGCCTGGCTGGTTTTTATATTTTTTTGAAGAGATGGGGTTTTGCTGTATTGCCCAGGCTGGTCTCCAACCCCTGGGCCATGAGGTTTTGAAGCACTGTTTTGTGGTGGGATTTTTTTTTTTTCTTATCCAAAAATTATTTACTGGGTGGGTGCTGGGATCACAGGTGTGAGCCACCTTGCCCAGCCTTTGATTCTGAAATTTTTGTGAGTTCAGCATCCAGGTATACAAGCTCTTATCTTCCTGGCCACTGAGATTCTTTTCTTCCACATTCCAGTTAAGGTTTCGACCACTTTCCCTCTGATACCGTCCCTCACCATCAGTTTCTGAACCTTTTCTGAAATTTGCAAGACCATCAGAAGCTTACTTACGCAAACCTAAATGGCAGAGAACCATGTCTGGATTGAAGATGCCAGGCTGTGCCGATTCCACGGCGGGCCAAGGGGTTTTACAAAGACTCAGTAATCAGTTCAAAGCGTTTGAAGTCACAGTTTCTTTGTGAGGCTTTCACACACCAGCAAGCAAGCAAATATACTTAACACACACACTGATCAGAGAGAGGGGGAGTGAGCCGCCGGAGTGGCTCTGAGACAGCACGCTCAGTGACCAACCAGGCAGGTCTAGATTTCCCTCAAAAGGCTGACCAGCGGAGTGGGGTGGGTGGAGTTGGCTGCCTTTCTGGAAGTTCTGACGTCCAGAAGCTCTGGGCAGGTGTGTGTGGCCCAGGTGTGTGGTCGGCTGCACCCTCTGGGTTTGTGTGAGTGCACTCCGTGATGTTCTCACAGCAGCACAATCATCTAGTGATTCGTTTCTCAGAGCATAGCCCATCGTTAGGTGACCTGACATTTTATTTCTTCCTTCACTAATCAGTTTGTTGCTGCTGCAGGGGCCAGGGCCGCTGAAGGAGTTAAAAATACGACCTACTGGCAAATCAGCTGTTTAAGTTAAAGGCACTTAAACAACAGGATCACTCTGACCTTCCTGTGGTATTTTAAAAACAGGAAAGAGAGCTGAGCGCGGTGGCGCACGCCTGTAATCCCAGCACTTTGGGAGGCTGAGGCGGGCGGATCACCTGAGGTCAGGGGTTCGAGACCAGCCTGACCAATATGGTGAAACCCTGTCTTAAAAAAAAAAAAAAAGAAAGAAAGAAAGAAAAAACCAGGAGATAAAATTTCCATGTGAAAGACACCCTCCCTATACCAAAGGAATGAGGTGGCTCACACCCGTAATCCTGGCATTTTGGAAGGCCCAGGCAGGAGGATCCAGGAGGCACTCAAATTCAGGACCCACCTACGCTACACAGTGAGACCCCATCCCCACAAAAAAAAAAAAAAAAAAAAAAGCAAAGCTGGCTTGGTAGCCCATGCCTGAAGTCTCAACTACTTGGGGGACTGAAGTCAGAGAATCGCTGGAGGTCGGGGCTGCAGTGAGCTGTGACCCTGCATCCCAGCCTGGGTGACGAAGGAGACCCTGTCACAAAAAAATCAATAAGTACACAACACTAATCGTCCACAGGAGCCACCCCGATATCCACACCTTCGCCCTGTGTGTGTGTGGAGGTGTTGACAGAGGCCCTTCTGCATTTCTCAGGGGCCCTGCAGGGGGACAGGTTGCGGCTCCACTCAAACTTCACATCTGATCCCGCTGAGATCAAAACAGTGGGGCAGACCTGTAATCCCAGCACTTTGGGAAGCGGATCCCCTGAAGTCAGGAGTTCGAGACCAGCCTGGGTAACATAGGGAGACGCCCATCTCTATCAGAGAGAGAGAGAGAGAGAGAGAGACACACACACACACACACACACACACACTCACTCACTCACTCACTCACTCACTCACACTCTCTGCAGGCAATAGGCAGCGGCTGTGGGCCACCCGCCCGTCCAGCAGTGAGCAGTCGCGTCCGCAGCCACGTCCACAGCCTGCGCTGCCGCCTCCCCACCCTGGCCAGGAGCTCCAGGTCAGCTCAAGCAGGCTCCCCGCGTGCTCCTCCCGGCTCCCCAGATGATCCTCCCGGCTCCCCGCGTGCTCCTCCCGGTTCCCCAGATGGTCCTCCCGGCTCCCCGCGTGCTCCTCCCGGTTCCCCAGATGGTCCTCCCGGCTCCCCGCGTGGTCGTCCCGGTTCCCCTGGCTGCGCCCCAGGGACATGGTCCTGGCGTGGTGATGGCTGCGCCCCAGGGACATGGTCCTGGCGTGGTGGTTTCTGCGCCCTGCATTCCCCGAGCTGTTTCTCTCGGGTTCTCCCGCGCAGCTGGGGGAGGAAAAGGAGTCCAGCCGCGAGCCCCGCCTTCCCCGCGCACAGCCCCCATGCGGCCGGGAGACACGCGGGGGCGCCGGGCTCGGGAGGGCGGGCAAGTCCGTGATCAGCGCGCGCGCAGCTGCCACCGGCTCCTTCCCCGAGAGCCGACCCGCCCACGAAGGACGCCCCCGCAGGGAGACGCAGGGGGAGCGGAATCCGCGCAGTCGGTGCCGGGGACCCCGAGCGGACCCAGAGCCTGGAGAACGCCCTGCGCTTCACCCTCGTCTAAGCCTCCCCCGCACCCAGCAGAGCGTCCAGGCCCTCGAGCCCAGTCAGGCCCCGGTCCTAACGCGGGAGGCAACGCCAGCGCGCGCCTGGGGTCCTGGTGGACCACAAGGCGGACCCGAAGGGCGAGCGCGAGATCTCGGACGGCGAAGGCTTGTCCTCGGCTGAGGTGTGGAGCTGCCCCTGCGCGGAGACGTCGGCCAGAAACACAGGCCGGGGAGACACAGGGTTGCTGCGATCGAGCGGCGGGTGAGCCCTGGGGGGAGCCCCACGGCGACGAAGGCGCGACCTCGGTGGACCCGGGACAGCCGCGCGCCGGCCGCGCTCTGCGCACAAAAGCCACACGCACCCGACCCCTGAATGTGCCTTCTCTCCTTGCTTCGGGATCGGAGGCGACCTGGCCTGGGCCGGGGTGTCCCGGGAGCCCCGCCGGCCTCCGCCCTGTACCCCGAGCCCGAGCGGCGCCTGGTCCTCCTGACTTCCCGAGACTCCGCTGGGAATGGGGCCCTTTTAGCACCAACATTTCTCCTGATTTTGGTGGGCGCAGATTTCCTGGTGAAAATAGCCGCTAGGGTTAGGGTTAAGGTCTAGCATAGAAATTCCGTTTGACCCAGCAATCCCATCACTGGGTATATATCCAAAGGATTATAAATCGTTCTACTATAAGGACACGTGCACACGAATGTTCATTGCAC